TCTAGTGTCTGGCTCAGAGACTTGACAGGTTTAAAATCCGGGCATCTGTCATTTGTCCCAGACCAGGAATTTGAAATATTTAAATAAGGATAAAGTTTACTCTTAAATGAGAACACAATATTTAGGAAAGTTTATTCCATTGTGGAAAAAATTTAAACAAAAAAAATACATAAGATGTAGTCTTTTCTTAAGGTAAAGGATGTTCAATATTAATTACCTGCTTACATGTTTCAATAAACTAGTTAAATGTTTTAATAAAATTTTCCCCAATGGTATAGTATAATATAAATATTAAAAAACAAATGCAGGAAGATAAGGCAGTTCTTAGAACTGTTTCTGTTTCGGTTTTGAGCTAACCAATTGAACTTAATGATTAAACCTATTTTAGACCTTCGGTTTGATAAATTGAGGTCCAATTCAAAGGTCCAGTCTAGATCAATGACATCTATTCAATGTGTAATTCTGCGAGTATAGAAAACTATGGACAAAATTATCTAAAAATGAATAAGATAAAAATAGCAGCCAGCATTTATTGAGCGCTTACAGTGTATTAGACATCATCTAAAACCTGTAAATGTGTTCACTCATTTAATCCTCACAACAGCCTTATAAGATAGGGTTTATAATTACTTCCTTAATAGGAAAACTGAGGCAGAAATGGTGAGGATCTTGGTCAAGTTTACTCAGGCAGTAAGTGGTTGCATTGGCTTCAGAGCTTCTTTTTTCCCTCTCATGTACTTTTCCTTCCCAACTCTAATGTACACAGTCTTAAACATCATATTCTTTGGTAGATCTTTAATAACATGTGTTATCAAAGACCCACAGGTGGTGATTGTATTCAGAATTTCCAGTAAAAGTATCTAATACCTGGAAATCAAAGAAAAATCCACTAAGCCAAGGTTCTAACCTCTTAATTTAAGAAAATGACTTTAAAAATGGGATCAGCAATTTAAACATCAGTAATTCTATTATTAAAATAATTCATACTCCTTAACCAATTACATCGCCAATTTATTCCTCAAAAAACTTCCTTCCCTTTTGTAGGAATTATTTTCTTGATTTAGAAGGTGGTTATACGAAAAAGCAAGAAAGGAGACTGATATAGGAGCTGAAGAGAGATTTACAACAGTAGAATTAAGTTGTAACTACAGTTGCCTAAAACCCAATATCTTCCATTCAGAAAATACTTATCTAGAACTTTTTTTTAACCCCAAAATGCAACCTGTCCTCCAAGAATAGTTACATGAGTCTGATTTATTATGGAGTTTGTCTCTAAGGAAGTAGAGACAAATTCAGTAAACAAATTCAGTAACATGAAAGCCAAGTGTCTGCGGACAAATTATTTTTCGAGAATCAATAAACTCTCCTTGGCCTTTTCCTCACAACTCACGCTTCTTACCGTGCAAGAATTTCAATGCTATAAAGTCTAACCTTGGGGCTTGGGAACATTGCAACCTACAAAAGTCTCTTGTTAACCTGTGGCGTAAACGAGTCCTGTAATAGGGAATGAAGGCTAGGGCATCTGGAGGGGATGGGAAAGGCAGTCATGATGGCAGAGAGCAGGAAGATGTATGGTCCAAAAGATGCATAAGATATGGTTGAATAAGGCAAAATTATCATTGCTAAGTTTAAAAGGTTAAGATACTCTCTCATTGATAACAAAGAAAACATCCCCTAGTTTAACAATTATGGACATTTGTCTATAATTAGGCTTAACTCAAGTTGGAATATGTCAGTGGAAAGATAGACAATAAAGCTTAATTATGTTTTTATTTTACTTTAATCATATGTGAGGGGCCAAAAAGCCATGCTACTTCTTATGTCACAAGGTTCTTGCTATTGGAAGCACAACTCCAACAGAGATGGAGCACCTTATGTCTGTCCATTCTGCAAATACATAAAGTGGATATTATTCTATGAAAAATTCCCAATGTGAAAAGGTTGGAGGGCTGGCAAAATTTAGATTTGCTCCAACATAAACACATCCTGCAGAATTGTTGATCATATTGTTAAACAAAAGAAGCCACACACAGTTTGAGAGATCTTAACGAAGCCAAAATCTCAAAAACTGTCAATGTGTTGCATGACTTGGAACAGAGGAAGAAAACTAAAATAGTGTCTGTGTTAACTAATGTAAACAAATCCAGAACTACATTTATTTTAATATTTGGAGGCAAATCACAAGAAATTGGTAACTATGTTATTTCACTTCTGAATAAAGCTACTTGACAGTTTCCAGTTTTCACATAATTCTTTAGTTTACTCATCAACTATGTATTGGCAACTATATTGCTAGTACTAGTTTTAGATGCAAGGAATATAGGTTAATAATTCAGGTCCTTGACTTATACTAAGAGCTTTCATTCTAGAAATGGGGAGATAGTCAACCAGCAAGGTAGATCTCACTGACTTGAAGACAAACAACGTGACATCCCAAAGTGCCTAACTTAGCCTAGCAAAACAATAAAATGCTCTGATTCTACTGGTTGCTTCATATCTCTGTGAATTAGGGTTTTCAGCCATAGTTGCCTCAAAAAGAAAAGAAGAATTGATTGTGTTACCATTATCTTGCTTCTAGGAAGGCAGAAAAGTGTGGAAACAAATGATCTAGATTCAAATCCAGACCCAAAACTTACTAACTATGTTAGCATGAAAATATTTTTTAGCATGCTATCTAAAATATAGCAAAAAAAATTTTAATTGTCAATTTTATAATAATGGAAAACTCATGACTCTCCTCTTAAAAATAAATTTAAAAACAATTCATCTCTATACCCAAGAAAAAGGGACCAAAGTGAGACCATCCAATAATTGCATGAGATAGGATGAGGTGAGATGGAAAGAGATCAAGTGGAGTGGAGTGGAGTGGAATGAGTGGAAGGGAGTGAAGTGGAATGAACCAGAATTTACCAACTAAAACAAAATCTGAATAAAATGTACAAGACAAAATTTAATGGCAAGCAGTATCAGTCTTTCAATCCTTCTCTTTAAATAATAGCAATAGCCCCCTCCTTTTCAGCTGGGTTTCCCTAAATTGAGGAATGTCTCTTATATACAGCCAATTCAAAATTCTGCTCATAGCGAGGAAACATTGGTCTTTTCTGAAAGCTTGTATGCTTATACTGTTAGACATGAGATTGTTGTTACTTACTATGCTTCGTTTTGGCCTTAAACCTCAGGAACTTCAGGGATATGTTTTGCATTTATTTTTAGCAACTCCACCTAGCCTTTGAGTTTCATATACTTTCTCTTTCCCACTTTCTCCTCTTCCTTAAGATGTTATTGAACTTTGGTCCGTATTTCAATGATTCTGTTGTACCCCTGTGTCTTTTATAAGTCACCACAGATTTAGCAGTAGATATTTGGCCTTAAACCTCAGGAACTTCAGGGATATGTTTTGCATTTATTTTTAGCAACTCCACCTAGCCTTTGAGTTTCATATACTTTCTCTTTCCCACTTTCTCCTCTTCCTTAAGATGTTATTGAACTTTGGTCCGTATTTCAATGATTCTGTTGTACCCCTGTGTCTTTTATAAGTCACCACAGATTTAGCAGTAGATATCATAGGAAGGAAGGAAGGAAGGAAGGAAGGAAGGAAGGGAAGGAAGGACACCTAGAGAATTTTTCAGATGATAGATTCAGACATACCTTTTTTTAGCCTATCCCACATACTATCTTCTACCTCTGTTTGCTGCCAACCTTCCTATCTATACATGCTCTTCTTGTCATATCACCATTTCTGTAGTCCCGGTTTCTCTACTGATATGCTCCCAAAAACAATGTAAAGAAAGAAAGAAGGGTGGCGGGGGAGGGAGGGAGGGAGAGAGATTTCTTAAAAGTATACCTTTAAATAAGGTCTTACAAATTTAACAGCCTTAATAGGGTGAATTCCATAGTTCATAATTTTTTTAAACATCATCTAAACTATTTTAAATACCTTAAATGAACAAACAAAAGCACATTTTCCCCAAGTTTGGATTTTATTATTTTTCTCCTGGTAAATTTTCTCATGCTAATTCTCTAAATCTTGTTAATATAATAGTCTCAAAATACTGTTCTTCAGCAGACAAAAACCAGATCTACTCTCAGCTACCACTCTGTCAGCAGACAATATATTCAACTCCTGTTGTCCTCCACAGAGGATCTTTGCAGCCATGTTTTGTGCTCCTGCTGGCTCCCCCAGCTTTCTGTCCTCTGCGATCACCTTCTCAGAGGGCAGATCACCTCTCCTTCTGCCCTCTCCTGCCTGGCATTATTTACCCTTATTTACTCAATTTCATTATAAACTCTGTTTCTTACGAAAAGGGGAGTGCTGAGCACATCCAGCTTTGAATCCCTGATGGAGAACCTCTGCAGCCCAAGGGAACAGCATGAGGATTTTGGAGTTTCTGGGGCTTTCCTTTAACGTCACTGTTTTACTCACCATTGGCACCACTCACCCCACTTTTCCCAGGTCAGCTCTAGCACACAGCAGATGTTGAACAAGTACATGTTATATAAACAGGAAAAAAATTTTTTTTTTAATTATCTTAGCCTTGGAGTAGTTTTTTACACCTGATTTCTGGGCAAACTATATCAGTTTATTTGCAATCCTAGAGAGAACATTCCTAAACTTCCTCTAGAACTAAAATTTCATTCTGTATATGTTTGATTATGTGTGTTCATGTGTGTGTTCATAATTATTTTCTTTTCTTAGATTTACATAAACAAACCAAACATGCATTATTAATTATTTTAATTATTATTCTGCTATCCATTCATCCAGGAGTTAATAAGAGCATAAAGAGGCCAATTCAACCATGTCAGTTGTCACTCCCCCCCACACACACACATATTCATGTATATACAACTGCATGTTTGCCTTCAATTCATCCTTGCATATATTTAATAAATGGCCTCAGCCTAGACATGGCACTTCCCAGTAGTGGTGTGGCAGGTGGCAAGGACAGAGGCTCAATGCCTTTTCTCTCTCTGAGTTAAACATAATAGTATGATATTACCTCTCTTGATCCTGATCATGATGCTCCAGAAGCCCAGTCCCAAAACTATGGTGGTCAGCAGCCCACACACTATGGCCACCAGCACCCTGATGTCACACCGACGACAAGAAGCCATGAGGAAGCCAATCCACAAATCCACTCTTGAAAAACAACTAGCTTCTTTTCTTCTTGAGCCAAGAAGTTTAATCAGAAATTATTCCAAAAAAATAAAAAGAATTCCTTCTTTTGGTGACCTATTAGGCAGATGTCCTCATTTTTTTCAGGATTTTTGAGGTTGATCGAGCAAGATGCAGTTCAAATCACTTAATAAAAGGTATATACTCTGCTTGCAATTTCCTCAGCTTCACTGAGTGAGAACATGGAAAAAGTGATTGGAGTTATAGAAAAAGGAAGATAACTCAAGGCCATAAAAAAGAAGGGGAGGGAATAGCTAACAGGGTCAAAGTGTAAATGTCTTGACAAGCAAGAAAGTGGGGGAAGGGAACAAAATGAAAGAAACCAGAGAGGAAGCCAGGAAAGCCCTGGACCCACGAGTCACCTATGGTTCAGCCTCCTGTGCTTTTGTTAGGAGGATCTGGCAGAGGTAGATCAGTGGGCGCTTTAGGCCACACAGACTCCCTCTTGGGAAAATAAAATACGTTGTCAACAAGAGGTTGAACAGTGATACCCACACATGAGTCCAATACTTGCACTTCTTTAAGGAGCCCACACTTTGACAGCTGCAGTTGGTGAGTGGGCATTGCTGGCACAGAGTGAAAAGCACTGAAGCCCAACATTACAACCCTTCTATTATGAGCTGAATTGTGCCCCCCTAACGATTCATATGTTAAAGTTCTAACCTCCAGTGCCTCAGAATGTGGAAGTAAGAGTGTCATGGAGGTAATCAACATAAAATGAGGTCATTAGAGTGGGCCTTAGTCTAATATGACTGGTGTCCTAATAAGAAGAGAAAATTTGGGCACAGATATGCAGAGGGAAGAGGAATTGAAGAGACACAGGGAGAAGACAGCTATCTACAAACCACGGAAAGAGGCCTGGGACAGATTCTTCCTTCTCAGCCCTCAGAAGGAAGCAACACTTCTAATGCCTTCATTTTGGACTTCTAGTTTCCAGAACTATGAGACAATAAATTTCTGTTGTTTAAGCCACTCAGTTATAGAACTTGTTACAGCAGCCCTGGCAAACTAAGCCACCACCTGAGTCAGTGTAAGCCAGTGCCTCTGCAGCTGCAGCTCTGACCCTCTTCTGACCAGGGTCCCGTATTGTTTTTTTCCTATCCCTTCTCCATTCTCAACTAAAATAATGAATGAATGGATAGTTGCCTCTTCAATTAGAGTTCTTTTCTTGATAGATTTAGAAAGATTTTCCAAGTATGAAGTTTCCTCAAAAAATTAAAAAATAGAACTCCTATATGACTCAGTAATTCCATTTCTAGGTATTTATTCAAAGAAACCCAAGACTCTAACTTGAAAAGACATATGCACCCCTATGTTCATTGCAGCATTAGTTACAATAGCTAGATTACAGAGGCAACCTCAATGTCCATCAATAGACAACTGAATAAAGAAGATGTAGCACATATATACAATGGAATAGACTTAGCCATAAAAAAGAATGATAGCTTGCCATCTGCTACAACATGAACGGACTTAGAGGGTATTACTCTGAGTGAAATAAGCCAGGCAGAAAAAGACAAATACCATATAATTTCACTTATATGTGGAATTTAAAAAACAAAAACAAACAAACAAAACAGAAACAAACTCATAGATACAGAGAACATTTTGATGGTTGCCAGATGGGAGGGGTATCGAGGGAGGTGTGTGAAAAGGGGAAGGGATTAAGAAATTCAAATTGGCAATTATAAAATAGTCATGGAGATGCAAACTACTGTATTTGGAATGTGGTCAATAATATGTAATAACTATGTATGGAGTCAGATGGGTACAAGATTTATTTGTGGTGATTACTACATAAGTCATATAACTGTCTAATTACTATCTTGTACACCTGAAACTGATATAATATTGTATGTCAACTCTCATTGAATTTTTTTTTAAAGTTAAAAAGGTTTTCCAAATAGGGACACACCTAAGCTGATGTTTTTCAGTCCTCCAAATAACTGTTTATTTCCCCTATTCTCTATAATACTCACTTCATCAAAATACAGCTTCAAGGAATGTGATCAGAGGCTCTAACCTTTACCTGCCCCCGCCCCAGGGGTTGCAGAAATATACATTGGTATACCCTCAAAAGGGAAGAACTTAAAGGCAATGTTGCAGAAGCACAAAATAAATGAATGTGAATCTATTATCTCATTTACTGTGAATAGACTTTAAAATATCTTTTCTGGTATATCTACATGTACATGCACAGAAAATACCTGGAAGTGTACATTAAAACAAAAATTCCTCTTGAGAATCTGAGGAATCTCATGAGAAATGTATTTTTCATTTTACACCCCTTTTATGATTCAAAGTTTTCACCTCTTGAATTTTTTATTCTTCAGTTATTATAATGATAAATATATCTGTAATTTCTTCAATAATAAAAGGAACCATTTTCAATAAATAATAAGTATAAGAAAAAAGTACAAGCACTATGCTATGCATTTTACATATCTTTATCTCATTTATTTTGTGCAATAACCTCAAGTAACAGATATTTTTGCCCATTGAATGAATGAAGAAAGGAGACCAGGACAGGTATTACATGCACATGAGCTCTGTGGTTAAGGTAACTTGGACAACAGCTCCAGGTTATGTAGAGGTAACAGTTTTCAAAAATCAAATGTAGGATTTTTCAGTCTTTAATATATTCATGTACATTGTGCATTGTGATGTTCCCAGCATTAGTTAACCACAGAATCCTCTTTGAAGACTCTCTCAGAGCTAGCACTCCTGGGACTATACTGTAAAACACTGCCCTGCACTATTGTCTGCAGAACAGTCGTACTTGAATAGTCTAACTGAAGGAACTGCTCCTGGAGCTCATGTTTGCAACAATGGTGATGGTGTTTTTCTCTTGTAGGGTTTCAAATATTTCAAAGGGGTTGTAGTCTAGTGACTGAAAACTGATTTTGGTGGTGCTCAGACATTCTCTCTTCCACACTTGATGGAAGTTAAGTTCTGGAATCGTTAGATGTTATAATGACAGTGGTTTCTTAGTGCCCTTGTATCTTCATCTACATGCCAACTATCCAGCTAGGAACTTTAGAAATTCATGGGATGGAAGAAATCCCTAAGCATGGAAATTTAGATGTTGACACGTGTATAAAGGCATAAATTTCTATTGGTTATAGACAAATATATAAAGTCATCAGTTTTTATACACATACATATGTCAAGATGACAAAGAAGAAAAGGAAAAGAACTAAAAGGAATAATTCACTTATTCATTCATTCTACTCACTGTAGACATTGTGCTAAGTGCTGGGAATAAAATAGTGAACAAGAGAGGCAAGCTCCCTGTTCTCACAAAGCTTAAATTCAGGGAGCCCTGGATTTGTACTGACATTGTTTCTCATTTGTTCTGTGACCCTGGACAAGCTACATAAGAACCTGAATCTCTGTTTCTTCATATTTTAAATGACTTAGTTGAGGCCCTCTCTTCCTGAATATTTCAATCTTAAAGTTATTAGCAGAGGAAGAACAAGGTAGGTGTCTGTGGTGGGAGTAGTGAGGAGCTCTTGATCAAAACAGATGTCAGAGCCCAGTAGGGTAAGGAGGGGATCTACAGAGGAGAGGGCAAAGTTGGAGGAAACCCGGCATGAGATGGCAGGCCCCAAGCAGGGTGAATAAGACACTCATGTGATTGGAGACAGGTGGCCTGGCATGAGGTGTCAAAACCAAGGGGTGAGGAAGGTAGCCAGGTGAGAAACAGCCCAATGTGAGAAATCAAAGCCAGAGCAGGGAGAGAAAGGCATTTCTTCAGAGACTGAGAGGGGTCAGAGGACAGGTACATGGATGGAATGGTGGATATGGGAAGGCAGAGCCATAGTCAGTGAGGAGGACAGCCACGTGGGGTAGAAATCTAGAATAGGGAGGCAGGCTACAGCCTGGAAAGAAGGGTGTTCACACATGGATAAGAGTGGGGAAGATCATAGACTGGTTACAAACAGGATAAGCAATCAAACAGGTAAACATATAAGAATAATTGGAGCCAAGTTCTTTACTCTAGGAGAAGGGAGTTACAAATATGGAAAGGAAGAGAAGTTGAAGTCCATAAATACTTCAAAACAAGTAATCAGAAATATGAAAAAGAAAACTTATGTCCAGTTAATTCTGAAGGAAGCAATATTCTCCAGGAAAGATGGCTGTCAGACAAATGCATGAATTGGTAATGAACTTATCCAAAAGAGAAACATTTATGGCTACAACAAAAACTAGTATTTCAAAGGAAGGAGTATAACATTACTTCTTATGTCTTATACTTGAACTAAATAATTTTTATTGTGCCTTAAAAAATGTGATAATGTTGGATTGGAAATGGGTTGTATGTATAAATACAAGCTCATGGTTTTCAATATATATGTAGAAAAAATACATATTTCAATATGTACTCAATAAATATATTTATATATAAACAATATAGAAGTAAACACAGATGCAAAAGTGTGTTAATACACAAAAATGTATGTATGTGCATATTCATGATATATACCACACATTTACATACAGATATTCACTAGCTCTGGCCACTCATAGGGCCTGGAAGCAGTGGCAATCCATTAGTAATGAGCACACCTAGAGCTCAGATCTTGATTCCTAAAAAGAATTTTCCACTAAAAGGAACATGGCTCTTTGCAAAAATGGCTAAGTTCAAGACTGAGGCAGGGAAAGTCCCAGATTAGCTTAGAATATCTATTGCCAAAAAACAAAGACATATGAAAGGAATGATAGGTACATATTAGATGGACACAAAATGCAGCATGAAGTGACTCCCCATTACCAAATGAAGGACAATTTAAGCATCAAAATAATTCTTATAACAAATTATAATCCTTTAAATAATACAGGTAATCTATTAAATTTAAACCTGTGGGGGGTGAGGCCTAGCAATCTGGGTTTTAACTAGTCCTCTAGCTTGATGTCTGCTGAAGTTTGCTAACCACTG